AAGAAGGTTTCACCTTCACCTTTTTTCCCTTGTAATCAAGGTCAGTGGGATTGCAACAACATTTAGATCCCACTCACTTTCTGAGACTTCAGATGTCTTCATTTGTGTTACAAAGAGGAAAGTCATACAGGTTTGGGACAATGTAACTTTAAGCACTCTTGGCTAGAATATAGCATTAACCTATTGTGTCCTGTGGTCCATTTTAAAGAAGTACACTGACTCATGATGACACAAATATATTTCAGCAACCTGACTTCCTTTTAAATTACTACCTACAACAACCTTTTTGGCTCAGTTGTCTTGAGTACAGACCTGTGGCTTATTTCAAAATCATTAAATTTGCACTGGATGGGAAGAGGGATTGCCACATTTTTGGATGTGATAAAACCTGCTCATGACACAATCTTGGTTTCAGCGCCAGAGCAGTGGCAATCGTAAGCACTTGAGTGATATTCCCAGTTAATGCTCTTTCGTGTAATAGACCCTAATTGACTGAAGAGATCTGGGAGAAACACATTTTGAAGAATCACGACTCCCTAGCATCTCAGTTTTGGTTTCTGGGAAATTTTACTTTGCTCAGTAGCGAGAGTGATCATCAAAAGCTTTTTAAGGTTCATTTGCACATAGTTTCTATGGATGGAAAGTTAACACATCATTGCGAGGCCCATTAGGTGCGGTGGAGCATGGGCTTCTCAACCGGCTAATGTTTGTTCATATCAGGAAATCCCCATGTGTTTTTTCAACAGCTTTATCATTCTTTTTTCCCCCTTTCTCTTTTCTTGTGTCTTATGTTCCACGAAGCCTTGCACTTTATTGTCTAGTGCTGCACATTTTATTCTTTTTATTTTGTGCTTGCCTTTATTGGCAACTTTTCATCCATGTTTTTTTTTCTATTAAACATTCTGTTTTTGATTTCATCATTGAGACTAATCATTTAATGGATCTATTGCTATGTACACAGCTGAAATAATAGCCCTATCATGATTTTGGAGGTAGTCTGATTGTTTAAACCTAGCATGCATTATCCCGTATGCTTTTATGTTATTGTCTGAAACAATAGGCGCAGGTTTGCTTGTATTGGTGACACAGTGTGTAACAGGATCCACGCCACTCCACTACAGTCTACAGTTACCTTATCATCTGGTACAACTGTGACACTTCTTTTTGCAAACCGTTTATGCATGTCGTATTTAATGAAATCAAGTGAATTTGTAGATGTTGAGTGCATGCCTACACAAAAGAATTTCGATGTGGAAATTACATCATCATTTCTCCATGCACACTCATACCAGAAACCCTCTTCTTCTTGAAATGATTGTAGCACCGTTTTACCAGGAACCGTATTTATGAAATCAGCATCACACTTGCTACACTGTTGATTGCCAACTTACGCTCTTTTTAGAACTTTCACAGAGGTCTGTACTAACAAGACACCATTATGGATTGTGTCTCTTACCTCTCTAATGAAGCTCATTTTGCATCTAAGAGGCCAGGTGCTTTCAAATGTCACAAAAGATTCTCAACCTATCCTCTCTCTGACACTTTAGTTAAGCAGGTCCCCCCTGCCCCATACTCCAGCCGCCCCTTGAGAGGTGTAACGGAGACGGCAGATGAGAGGAGAGATAGTCATTGAATACAGACGCACTCCTGCACATTGTGCCAGGCTGTGTCTGGTGCAAGCTAACACCCTGTTGTGTTTGAGGTTCGCTCGTGGCCGACCGATGCATCAAATCAGCATCAAATGGGGGCATTCTCAGAGAGTACCTAGAGAAAAGAGCCAGCACACCTTCTCAGACTGCTATAGACCTCCTGAAACTTTAATGATACGCTGCTCTTGTTCTCTTTTGAAGACTGCGCTACATTCTGTGTTGGCGGTTTTGCCTGGGTGAGGTGATAATATGCTCATACATAAAGCCATCCACTGCTGTCTTGTCTCTCAGTGGAATTAATGGCTAGTAAGGCCGATACTGCAGCTGCGTTCTTCCCGAGTGCCGTGACCTTATATAGAGATACGAATGGAGAGAGCTAATCAACTGCACAGGTGGCTGGTTGCTGGGCTACAGGTTCAGGCAAATTTGCCACTGCCTGTGACCTACCAAAGCTTTTGTAGACAACCGAGTGTCTTTCTCAGTGGTGATCTCTAGATAGAGCAAGAGTTTGGTAAAAATGATGATGTGTAACAATGTGTGAAATCTAGAAATAGTTAGAATTACTCTTGCACGCTGGTGGTTTGCATAAACGACTGCCGCTACTTCTGTTCCTGCTCAACAACGCAGTCTGCCCTGTCGCACTTTGACTGTCTTGACTATTTATATGATTTGAAAGGTCAGGTAAATCGGAATACTTCTGAAATGTGTGAAATATTTGCCAAAATATGTGTTTAACTAGGTGATAAATAAATAGTGTGTTCAGTATTATAAATGCAAATGGTTATAAAGAAAAAAAAGACAATTGTGACCCTGGACCACAAAACCAGTCTTAAGTCGCTGGGGTATATTTGTAGCAATAGCCAAAAATACATTGTTTGGGTCAAAATTATTGATTTTTCTTTTATGTCAAAAATCATTAGGATATTAAGTAAAGATCATGTTCCATGAAAATATTTTGTAAATTGCCTACTGTAAATATATTTAAACTTAATTTTTGTTTAGTAATATGCATTGCTTCATTTGGACAACTTTAAAGGTGATTTTCTCGATATTTAGATTTTTTTGCACCCTCAGATTCCAGATTTTCAAATAGTTGTATCTCGGCCAAATATTGTCCTATCCTAACAAACCATACATCAATGGAAAGCTTATTTATTCAGTTTTCAGATGGTGCATAAATCTCAATTTCCAAAAATTGACCCTTATTTTGTGGTTTTGTGGTCCAGTGTCACAATTATGCATCCAGTATGTGTTTTTGCATTCAGAAGCAGCAGAATTGAAGAGGATGCAGATATCTCTGGGATTTTTAATGCATGACTGCCCAGTTTTGTATTGCGTGTATTTATAGTGTTTTCATTTGCTATAGTGTAATGTCTTAGAATTTTCTTTACATGGGGTCCTTCCTGAGCAAATAATTATGTATTTGATTTATTATGTATTAATTTGGTTAATTAGCACACTGTTTAATTACATTTAAAGGCTTACCATACATGCTGAGAGTGTGTTTATACTCAGAATACTTTTTTGAGGATTCTTTGATGAATAGAAAGTTCGAAAGAACAAAATAAATTAATTTGAAATAGAAATATTTTTTACCATTATAAATATCTTTACTGCCACTTCGAAAAATGTAATGCATCCTAAATAAGAGCATTCGTTTTTTTCTTTAAAAAAAAATGTAATTTACTGACAAACTTTGCACGGTAGTGTTTACTACAGCTATATCTAAAACACACACACACACACACACACACACATATATAT